AGGATCCTACTGGGATTACAGGCATGAACCATTGTGCTAGGCTCCAGATACTCAGACTTTATAAAAAGCCACAGTAATTAAAACAGCATGGAATTGATGCAAACATAGATAGGGTAAGGGACTGTATAGTGTCCAGAAACGTACCTACCTATTCCTGTATGGTCACCTTACTTTTCTACAGAGCTGCCACTGTAGTTCAGTGGGGGAAAGGATTATCCTTATGATAAATAATGCTAAATCAGTTGGCTATCTTTGTGGATAAGATCCTTAACCTTAACTGGGTGAGCTGCATGTACCTGTCTCAGCTACTGGGAGGCTAAGGCAGGAGGAAAAGACTTAAAATGAACTTGTCCCAAAAAGGATATCTAATTGGCCTATGAAACATATGAAAATGTACTCAACAAACTTAGTCATCAGGGAAATGCAAATTAAAATTTCAGTGAATGCCACTATACATTAAGAAAAATATGGCTAAAATTTGAAATACTGGTAATATACAGTGTTTTTATTTTCTTTTTTTATTTTTTCTTTTCTTTTCTTTTTTTTTATTACTTTTCTTCTTTCCTTTTTATCCCTGTCAGAATACCAATGCCATAGTAATATACAGTGTTAACAAAGATGTAGAGAGCAACAAGTGTTCGTGGGATTATAAATTGGCCTATAACCACTTTGGGAAACTGGTGGTATCCACTAAATAAAACTGACCCAGCAATTCTACTCTTATGTTATATAAATACCCAAGAGAAATATGCATGGATATTCATAGCATTTGTAAAAGCCCCAAACTGGAAATGACCCAAATAGAGTAAATATGTAGTTGTATCTTCATACAAAGGAATACACATTGACTATTCCTTATCCAAAATGGTCGGGACCAGAATGCTTTGGATTTCAGATTTTTTGGATCTTGGAATATTTGCATTATACTTAACCAATTAAGCATCTGTAATCTGAAAATCTAAAATCCGAAATGCCCCAGTGAACATTTCCTTCAAGCATCATATAAGCACTCAGAAAGTTACGGATTTTGGATTTCAAATTAGGATTTGGATTTCAGATACTCAACCTGTATTCCAAATGAGGCTAAACAAAGCACAGTTACATAAATGGCTCTCACAGATAAAATAATGAGTAAAAGAGTATATAGTATATGTTTGTATTTATCTAAAATTCCAAAACAGGTCAAATTAATCTGTAGTGAAAGAAATAAGAATAGTAACCTTGGGCATTTCTATTATATATTAGGGCATCTTCAGGGTTGCAGAAAGCATTCTGTATGCTGATCTGAATGGTGGTTACTCAGGTGTATACATAGTTAACAGTTCATTGAGTTATACACATAAGGTTAGTATACTGTATTTGTATGTAATACTTTGAAATATTTTCTAAACAGTATTTTCTAAACTGGTTTTATCTGGTTTAAAATTATTACGTGCTGAAATTTTTTTCCAGGAAATTTTTGATCCAAAAATTTCATATGGTGAATTAGGAAAAAAAAGTACTGGTCTTTGAGTTAGTAGACGTTGGTTTCAGTCCTTCTCTGATGTTTTAACTCCTTCCAGTCTTGTAAAACCTGGGCACTGTGATCTTGTGTAAGTTATTTAATCTCTCTCATTGTACAGTAGAGATAATAACTACCCTTTCTAATTCCTGATATATCAAAAGGATTAAATGAAATGATGTGAAAGTGCTTTGCATCTAAGTATGCCAGTTTATAATATCTTTATAATCCACTGAGATACTTAGGTCTAGGCTCATATAGCCAAATACTGGAATCCTTCATTGATGCTGTGATAGCAATCTAGATGCCCTATTTAACAAGTTGCCCTGATTTCTTCCTTTTTTCAGATAACTGAGAGAAATTTGAAGTGCTCTTAGAAATCTGGGAGTACATAAAGTATGACTTTTGAATAGGAAGACCATTGGGATTGCCCTGAGACATCTACCTTACCTTCCCAAATTTTTGGCTAATTTGTTCTAAGATTTGGTCTCTTCTCTAACTGCTTTTCATTACCTCTTAAGATGGCACTTTTATGTGCCACCAAGGGGGGGGAGCCACTGCCAGTTATAATTGTAAGAAGCTGTTGATCGCAGGGTATCTCACAACTTCAGAGATAATTTGGGGGAAAATGTGCATCCTAGAATCAGTGAAATATAAAAGGTTTTGTGCATTGTGTTTTTGGGTTTTGATTTGGCAAAATTTATAGTTTCTTTGTATTAGCATACACTAAGTTACACAATTACTTGGGAGATCAAAATTGAACACATACAGGGAAAGTAAAATAAGGTAAAATATTCACCACTGTAATTGGAATATTTAAAATTGGTAGATTGAAGTGATCCCCACAGTCTTTTGACTGACTTAATGATGATTGTTAGAACTCAACTAAATTTTGATAACCTAGTGTGGTTTTTTTTGTTTTGATTTTTTTTTTTTTTTTTTTTTTTTGAGATAGGCTCTTACTCTGTTGTCCAGGCTCGAGTGCAATGGCGTCATCATAGTGCACTGCAACCTCAAACTCCTGGGCTCAAGTGATCCTCCTGCCTCAGCCTCCTAAGTAGCTGGGACTACAACAGGCCTTGCCACCATGCTCAACTAAATTTTTCTATTTTTTTGGTAGAGACAGGGTCTCGCTCTTGCTCAGGCTGGTCTGGAAATCCAGACCTTAAGTAATCTTCCCCCTTTGCCCTCCCAAAGTGCTAGGATTACAAGTATGAGCGTGTAGTGTGTTCTTATTATGGAATCCCAACATAAATTGTGAAAATTTTTGTAAGAGCCAAAAGTGTTTTGTTTTTCTTGTTCATCGCTGTTATCTCTAACTGATACACAGTAGGTTCTCAAATATTTGTTGAATGAGTTAATACATTTTCGAAATAATGACTTTTAGCTGTATCCTTGTCATCTGAAAGTAACCAGAGATGAATCCTTCAAGGTGAATGCTTTTTTCTTTTCCTTAAACTAAAATTTCCCATGTTTAATACTAATGCCAAGATTAAAAATTGTTCCTGAATCTAAGCTAGTATTCCAGATATTTAATGGAAGATACAAAGGTAGATGTCCTTTTTGGTCTTAGAAAAATTCAAATGTGCACCAGAATTAGGTAATTGATGTTTTTAGAGCCAGTACTAACGTAGAAGCTATGTTAAGTTCCCATAATAAATGCAGTTCTTCTTCTGACAGCGCTTTATTGGAAATAAAAAAAATAAAAAATTAAAAAATTAAAAAAAAAATAAATGCAGTTCTGCTGACCATTGATTTGAATTTCAGGGATCATCTTACAAACGAGTATTTGCTGAAGCACATTTGAACATTGTCTCTGTCTCTTATTCTATCTCTTTGTTACTTTTATATTAATATAGTAATAGAATTAGTAGAATATATAGCTTTCGCATGTGGAGGCCTGACTTTTTTTTTTTTAAGCCTGTCATTGACCTGACAACGGAATCATAGTAATTTTTAGCAAGAAATGTGTGGACTGTGTTGTAAATGGGAAGTAGTAGAGGTATATGCAACTCTTTTCTTTTTTGAATGCCTTTTCAATTAAGATTAAATGAGAATTTAGCAGTATATTTAAAGATTAAAGGCATAGAGTCAGTGGCGATGATGATGAGAGGAAATGATTACAGGTTCATTTCAGTAGGACAGATCTGAACCCAGGTCTCCCCATGTACCATTCTACTCCATTCTATCCCAGAAGTTATTGGAAACCATATTATTATGGATTTTATTGCTTATTTATTACAAAAACATGCTTTACTCCATCTAAATAGCCTTTAGAGGTTTTTATGTAATGCCTTATTTTGAATATAATGATATTAATATATTAAAATTTAATAAATAGCTGGGGTTTTAAATATTTGTTTTGATCAGGAAATGGAGGCTGTGGTTGCTAAAATTTTCAGGACTGCTGATACATTCCAAAGAAGTGTGTAAAGCTAAATAACCTACTGACAGTTACTTGTTTTTTTTAGCGTATTATGGGGGTACAAGTGTTAAGGTTACTTATATTGCCCCCCTTGAGTAATACAGCTTCAAGCGTGTCCATCCCCCAAACGTTGCATATCTTACTCGTTGTGGTTGTATATACCCACCCCCTCCTCCCTCCTCCCACCCTCCCGACACCCGATAAATATTACTGCTATATGTCCACTTAGGTGTTGATCTGTTAATACCAATTTGCTGGTGAGTACATGTGGTGCTGGATTTTCCATTCTTGAGATACTTCATTAGCAGAATGGGTTCCAACTGTGTATCCAGGAATATACAAGAGGTGCTATATCACCATTGTTTCTTAAAGCTGAGTAGTATTCCATGGTATACATATATCACATTTTATTAATCCACTCATGAATTGATGGGCACTTGGGTTGTTTCCATAGCTTTGCAATTGTGAATTGTGCAGCTATAAACATTCGAGTGCAGGTGTCTTTTTCATAAAGTGACTTTTGATCTTTTGGGTAGATGCCCAGTAGAATTGCTGGATCAAATGGTAGATCGAATTGTATCGCTTTGAGGTATCTCCATATTGCTTTCCACAGAAGTTGAACTAGTTTGCAGTCCCACTAGCAGTGTAGGAGTGTTCCTCTCTCTCCGCATCCACGCCAGCATTTGTTGTTTGGGGACTTTTTGATAAAGGTGACATTTACTTCTTAATCTCCTTTGCTTCATAGCCATTTGTTCTTAGTGATGCTATTCTAGCGTCCTACTAGATTGCAAGATGACAGAGTAAGGCAGTCTCTGAAGGGTGTTGTCCCTGAAATTTTTTAGGTTTTTTGGCTGCTAAGCTTCAGGTTGGCCACTGGAGAGCAAAGAAGAGGATTACAGTCCATTGGCAGCAGACTGGAAGAGCCTCGTCAGGAACCGGCGACAGAAGCCAAAAATCATAGAATAACCTTATTGTTAGTCATAGGACTAAATATAAGGGTATGAGTCTTTTTAAAGGATTGCTATTTTATTAATAAATTTTAGAAAATTGACCATCTTATTTATTATCTGTCAGTACGAGGATGTCGTCCAGGAAAGATTGTGCAGATGACTGAAGCAGAAGTTCGGGGCTTATGTATCAAGTCTCGGGAGATCTTTCTCAGCCAGCCTATTCTTCTGGAGTTGGAAGCACCACTGAAAATTTGTGGTATGTAAAGGGTAATGTTGGAAACAACTGTTTGGAATTGTGTGTTTCTTTGCATATTTACATTGAGGATGATTTAGAGAAAACATTTTTTAAGATTTTATATAAAAGATAGATAGGTTTTGATTCATAAAAATAAGTTACAGACAAGAAAACATTTGCTGCATAGACAACAGATAAAAAGATTGCTATTTGGCCGGGCACGGTGGCTCACACCTATAATCCTAGCCACTCTGGGAGGCCAAGGCGGGTGGATTGCAGGTGGTTCAAAACCAGCCTGAGCAAGAGCGAGACCCTCGTCTCTACTATAAATAGAAATTAATTGGCCAGCAAAATACATACATACATACATATATTAGCCGGGCATGGTGGCGCATGCCTGTAGTCCCAGCTACTTAGGAGGCTGAGGCAATAGGATTGCTCGAGCCCAGGAGTTTGAGGTTGCTGTGAGCTAAGCTGACGCCATGGCACTCTAGCCCGGGCAACAAAAGTGAGACTGTCTCAAAAAAAAAAATTGCTGTAGTGAAGTGCAATTTAAAACAAGTACCTAACTCTAATCAGATTACCAAAAATGTTAAAGATTGGTATTTAGTGTTGTCAAGGATGTAGAGAAATGGGCATTTCAGTACACTGGTTAGAACAAACAAGTATAGAATTTGGGGGTTCAGTATGGCAATGGTCTTCTAACTCTGTTGTGATTGGTAGCAAAAACTTATAACCTTGAGTAAGTGATCTCTTGCAAAGAATAACATTTTTCTGTAGTTTACATAACAACAAGAAATAATATAAATGATGTATCACACTAGTTTTTAGTTTGATAATGCAGATATTCTTTGTGGTGGTTAGTAGTGTTTGTGACATAGCTTTCATGGACATACCATCAGCATTTGCTCAAACAAGGATAGTTTGTTATATGCGAAATTTTTTTTCTCCTGCATGTTTCTTTGTGATTCACATTCACACTGTGTAACTTGAGGATTATCAGTGTGCTCTTTAAATATTTTTTATTCTTTTCTGGGTGTGATTTATTAAATCATGTGCTTGGTGCTCCTTTGCACAATGCCCAGCAAATAAGAGATAGTAGGTAATGTTTGTTGGATAGATAAATTATTTAGAGTATCACACCTTTAATTAAGAGGTGGTAGTTGGAATTTGGGTAAAATAATCCATCCCCTCTATGAATTTTAATGCAGCACATGTAGTTTAAGATCATTTGTAGTTGACCTTAAAATGATTTTGAAGTATTCTTTAAAGATATTCTTTAAAATGCTGTGATATAGAAATAACTTGAAAGTAATAGAAGTTATTTATATGTATTTATAAGTTCTTACTATTTGTCTCAGTATTGGCCATAAAAAAGTGACCTAAGTTAAACTACCAGATAATAAGAGTAACTGTCTTAGTTGCCTGTTTTATAACAAATTACCCCAAAACTTTGTGACTACAACTATATTAATTTACCATTTCATAGTTTCTATGGGTCAGGAATTTGGATACAGCTTAGGTCCTCTGGTTCTGGGTCTCTCACACAAGGCTCCAACCAAGGTACGATCTGGGGCTGCAGTCATCTGAAGGCTCAACTATGAAAGGAGTCAGTTCCTTATGGGCTTGATGGACAAAGGGCCTCAGTTCCAAATTGGCTATTGGCCAGAGGCCTCCCCTCAGTTCTTCGCTACATGGGCTTCTTCATGAGACAGCTGGTTTCATCAGTGAACATGGAAGATGAGAGAGTGCAAACAAGACAATAGTTATAAGGCCAGGCACTGTGGCTCATGCCTGTAATTCTAGCACTCTGGGAGGCCGAGGTGGGCAGATTGTTTTTGCTCGGGAGTTCGAGACCAGCCTGAGCAAGAGCGAGACCCCATCAGTACCAAAACCAGAACAAATTAGCTGGGCATGGTGGCACTTGCCCAGCTAGCTACTCGGGAGGCTGAGGCAGAAGGATCGCTTGAGCAGCCCTGGAGTTGGAGATTGCTGTGAGCTAGGCTGACGCCATGGCACTCTAGCCAAGGCAACAGAGTGAGACTCTGTCTAAAAAGAAAAAAAAAAGACAGTAGTTACAATCTTTTGTAATCTAATCTTGGAAATGACAGCCCATCTTACTTTTGCTATATCTTATTTGTTAGAAGTAAGTCACTAGGTATAGCCCACACAAGGGTGTGAGGGATTGATTACATGAGGTATGAACATTGGGAACTCTTTCATAGAAGCTGCGTACAGCAGTTGCCAATTTTTCTAAAACTGACTTTTTCTGTTTTTAGGAGATATTCATGGACAGTATACAGATTTACTGAGATTATTTGAATATGGAGGTTTCCCACCAGAAGCCAACTATCTTTTCTTAGGAGATTATGTGGACAGAGGAAAGCAGTCTTTGGAAACCATTTGTTTGCTATTGGCTTATAAAATCAAATATCCAGAGAACTTCTTTCTCTTAAGAGGAAACCACGAGTGTGCTAGCATCAATCGCATTTATGGATTCTATGATGAATGTAAGTGGAAATAAAAACTAAGAAAAGTAATTAATGGAAACATTCCTTAATAATTTTCTGGTTCAGAAGAGTTCCTTTGATTCAGAGGGTTTTTTTTCAAAATATACTATATCAGACATAGGCCCAGGAAGAGGAACCTGAAAATGGGTAACATTTTGCTAATTTGTTTCCTTGGGGTCTTTTTTATCATGTCATTTTGAGATTGATTGCAACTTACTAGGCTGAAGAGTCCCTTTTTACATTAGTTTACCTAGTAAAATATCCAAGTGAAACAGAGGTCACTGTAGACAGTGGCTTCTGGTTTTCTAGTGTCTGTTAAGGTTTTAGCTCTCAGCATTCTTGTGGTATGACAGAAGTTGTTATTAGTTCTGTGTCACAAGAATTATTGAGAAGTTCTATGGAACTATTGAAAAGTTGAAGTTTATTAGAATTTTAATCTTTATGTCTTCAAACCTAGAGAGACAAGAATACTGAATACTCTGGTATATCCTTATTTTATTCTACTCTTTTTCATCAGTAGGAAATCACTGATTTGCTATTGCATAGTGGTATTTCCAAGTATTACTAAATTACCCTACTACATTTGAATTTGGTCTTTTGATTTTGTTAGACCAGTATGGGAATGAGCGTATGTTTGCTTAATTATAATTTACAACCAGTTATAATGATCTTCAAATTGAATTTATTCTTTTTTATTGCAGAATTTCCTTTTAGAATCTGCTTTTGCTATTTTCCATCCTTAAAAATGGTAGAGTCATAATCAAACTTATATATATCTTCTTGATTTGTGTAATGATTTGACAGATATTTGAAGACATGTTAAATGTATCAGACACTGTTCTAACCACTGAATGAAGCCATACACAATACAGATGATCTCTGTTCTCATGGAGCTTATGTTCCAATGGGAATGATTCTGTGTTTGATTTTATATTGCACTTTTATTTCTGAAGTGTAGTATGTGGTTTGATTTATTTGAGTCAGACCAGTAGAGAGGAAGTGTGTTGGAGTACATCGAACTATAACAATTTTCCTAAAGCGACATCAGTAATAAGGTTATATTCTTAAAGGATAAAAGATGGGTATGACTATCCTTGAAGCTAGATATGACATCACATGAAATAATGTATATGAGAGCAGCTTGTAAACAGTGCTTTGAGTTTTACTTTTTGTTAAGAGGCAGCATAGGAAAATTACTACTTGTATCTTTCATCCCATCCTTGGCTTAGTAGTTACGCCTTATTGCCAAATTTGAGAAAATCGAGTAACTCTAAAAAGGTGAACATATACTTGAGGTTGTCTTTGTTGTAGCTATTTATAATAGGCTATGGGAAAATTATAGCTTTTGTGTCAAATCTGTTTATACTTGCTGTTACACTAATGCCAAGTGGTAATTCACTCAAAAGTGAACAGCAGTTAAGCACTTGGAAATTTTCCCTTCTTGGCAGTAAGTTTATACTATGTTATTCAGTGCATTAGAGTTAAAATGGACGGTCTCCAGAAGCACCCTTTCATTCTGCTTGCTTATTTGACTAGGTATTTAGTGTACATGTTGAAGGGAAAAAATGAACTAATAGCCTATTTCAAAATTGCTGTATTATAGTGATCTTAAAAGAAAAATGATTGTGTTTATTTCATAAAACACTAGCAGTCTTTGAAGTCTTTGTAACTTTACTAAAGGTGCTGATTGTTTATATTTATTACCTTTTATAAAAGTGTACAAATAACATTTGTACATTATAGAAAAAGTGCTAGATATGCATAAAGCAGAAAATTGAAATCAGTCATAATACTGTGGCTTTGAGATAACTAATGAGAGAACAGTTTCAAATTTTTATTTATTCTATCTGCTTGTTCTTTTTATAGGCAAACGAAGGTTTAATATTAAATTGTGGAAGACCTTCACTGATTGTTTTAACTGTCTGCCTATAGCTGCCATTGTCGATGAGAAGATCTTCTGTTGTCATGGAGGTAGACTAGTAAATTTGCCTTATGGGTTTTTTCTTTTTATGGTTCTTATATTACTCAGAAAGGAGCTGTATTAATGAAGGTGCAGGCTTGTGTGAAAACTTAAGTGATTAAAACTGTTTTAAACATGACTAAAACTTCTTTTAATAATTACAAATGTATAGATTATTTATGAGTGAAAATGTAACTCTTGTCTTTAGAGTTTCATATTTAAGGAGGATAATTAGAGTTTTGTTTGAAAAGTGTATCTTTCCTTTACCTCAAATTTTGACAGAAATATACTCCTGCTATCAGTAAAAATGAGAGGATCATTATCTTCCTGCCCATATTGAATACCTTTCATCAGAATCTAAATATAGTTTAGTTTAATGTTCACATATATCAAGATTTCTAGGCTTCATACAGGATGTCTATACTTTGGTCCTAAAAATAATTTTTTGGTAGAATGGTAAGTTATTCTAAAAGTTAATTTGAAAAACTAATATGTGTCTAGCACCTGACTAGATGCCATGGAAATCAGTGCATGATCTGGTCGTCTTGAATTTAAAAACCTATTGATAAGTTATATTTGTCAGGTAATTGAGTAGTAAAAGCAATTTAATTATGTCAGTATTTGTAAGATAGTAATTATTATGAGAAGTCATAAAAAGGAAAGAATTATTGGACATATGTGTGTGAAGGCATAGAGTAAAGGACTTTAGGCTGGACACGCGGTGGCTCACGCCTATAATCCTAGCTCTCTGGGAGGCTGAGGCGGGCGGATTGCTCAAGGTCAGGAGTTCGAAACCAGCCTGAGCAAGAGCGAGACCCCGTCTCTACTATAAATAGAAAGAAATGAATTGGCCAACTAATATATATACAAAAAATTAGCCCGGCATGGGCTGTAGTCCCAGCTACTTGGGAGGCTGAGGCAGCAGGATTGCTGAGCCCAGGAGATTGAGGTTGCTGTGACCTATGCTGATGCCACGGCACTCACTCTAGCCTGGGCAACAAAGAGAGACTCTGTCTCAAAAAAATAAAAAATGAAAAGGACTTTAGACAGTCTTTGTATGTTGTATGTCTAGTTTAGGAAATGTGCAAAGACTGGCCCAACTATATCGTCAAGTACATGCTGAGAAATGTTGGGATCAGATAACAGAGATTGAGTATTGAACAAAGAAGTTTGTTGAATGATTTAATAGCCATATTGGGTTTTTGTACAGGGAAGTAATTTAATGAAAATAGTGTAAGAAAATTAGTTTTTCATCAATATTATGGGAAGAATTAAAGTGGAAAATGCTGAAAAGATAGATGCACTTGCCTAGGCCTGAGGTAATAAATAGTTTATTCTCTGGCAGAACATAATTCCCTACATTAATTGAAACATGTTTTCCAGTAGATATTAAACATTTAGGGAATTGTAGTTCTTGAACATTAGTATAGCTAAGGATAGAAATGTAGTGGTATGGAATATGAACGTTTAGATTCATTCCTTGTGATGATACTTGGATTGCCTACCAGAGAAATAATAGCTTGTATTTATATACTGCTTTAAAGATTGCAAAGTATTTTTATGTGCTTTTTCTTATTTATCCTTCTTATCAATTGTTTATGCCTTCATGAAAATAATGAGCATGTTGGAGTGGGATGTCAGAAGGTCTTGGGGATCAAGTGAGGCGTTTTAATTTGGAATAAAAATGTTTAAGATTAGGGTGGTGAGAAGTGACAAAAGTGGTAGGAAGGCTTGCAGTTATGTATGTTTCTATGAAGGACAGAGAATGATTAGAAAGAATGGTGAAATTTGATTAGCCTTGTAGGGAAAAATGGAGATGACATAATCATAATTATATGCTGTATTATATATATTGGGGATTCATAACTCAATATATTGACCTTTAAGATAACATTAAAAGGAACAATCTATCTTTAATTTCACATAGTGAATCTATTTTGATTAATAGCTTTTTTATTGAATAACTATTGCAATTTTTTTAGATGTCAAGACTATGTCTCATCTTTTTATTTATAGGACTGTCACCAGACCTGCAATCTATGGAGCAGATTCGGAGAATTATGAGACCCACTGATGTCCCTGATACAGGTAAGCATGTAGAGAAATTTAATTGTTTTGTGTAAAATGTTGGCCTAATGGAATCTAATTATATGTATTGGAAGTAGGATTGGCTTAGGTAATAAGAGGTTTTTTTTTTTTGTAGTCATCAGTAAGCTAACTATAGGTTGCTTTATTTACGGTAATATAAAATACTTCACTTTGCACTGATCATCCCACAGAATGCAGAACTTGGAATTTTTATTTATAACTATAATATGGTTCTGTCAAACTTGTTTGATCACAAAAAAGATTTTGCTATTGATACCTCATATCTTTCTATTTTTCTAAATTCCCTCATTCATATTGGCTTTGGTTATATTTTCAGAAACTTCTTAAATTTAGTAAAAAGTTTTAAAATATGGGAGGCTGAGGCGGGTGGATCACTCAAGGTCAGGAGTTCAAAACCAGCCTGAGCAAGAGCGAGACCCTGTCTCTACTAAAAAATAGAAAGAAATTAATTGGCCAACTAAAATATATATAGAAAAAATTAGCCAGACATGCATGCCTGTAGTCCCAGCTACTCAGGAGGCTGAGGCAGAAGGATTACTTGAGCCCAGGAGTTTGAGGTTGCTGTGAGCTAGGCTGACACCACAGCACTCTACCCTGGGCAACAGAGTGAAACTCTGTCTCCAAAAAAAAAAGTTTTAAAATAACTCTCTTTCCTTCTTAGACAAGGATACAGTTATCTTCTTTTAAATTCTGTAGTTGTTCTGTTATTTTCTGTATTACCTAGATTTCAAATTTTTAGAGCTTTTTAAATTTGGAGACAGGATCTCACTATGTTGCGCAGACTAGACTTGAACTCCTGGGCTCAAGCAATCCTCCTGCCTCAACCTCTCAAGTAACTGAGATGACAGGCATACGTGCCTTAAATTTTTAGAGCTCTTAAGGATTTTAGAAACACATGATCAGTTTTATGAAAGTTTATTTTAAGGATATGTGAACATTTGTGGGGAAAATTATGAAAATTGACTTCAGACATTAAGAACAACTGTTTAAGTTGTTAAGCAAGCCCAAACAAAAGCAAATAAGTTCCAGTTGAGGATAAAATGCTATTATTGATTAACAAGGGAACCTAGGTCGGGCGCGGTGGCTCACGCCTGTAATCCTAGCTCTCTGGGAGGCCGAGGTGGGCGGATTGCTCGAGGTCAGGAGTTCGAAACCAGCCTGAGCAAGAGGGAGACCCCATCTCTACTATAAATAGAAAGAAATTAATTGGCCAACTAATATACATATATAAAAAAATTAGCCGGGCATGGTGGCACATGCCTGTAGTCCCAGCTACTTGGGAGGCTGAGGCAGTAGGATTGCTTGAACCCAGGAGTTTGAGGTTGCTGTGAGCTAGGCTGATGCCATGGCACTCACTCTAGCCTGGGCAACAAAGTGAGACTCTGTCTCAAAAAAAACCACAAAAAACAAGGGAGCCTAATGTAACTGTAAATAAATGATAGGCACAGTTGCCACTTACCCTAACTTTTCTGTTGGCTTTAAAATGTTATTACTCATATTTGAATATCAGTATGTACTAAGATACCTAATCATACCATTCATATCATAAAACATTATGAAGATGAATTGAATGCAGTTAAGTTGCTCTGCTTTCCTCAGTTCAACTTTTGCTTAAAACATCAGTACCTTTCTGTGTGGTGTTTTCTTGTACCAAATGTGTGTGATTTTACCATACCACAACCAGTTCTTCAATACTAGCTGGGTGTCTGATTCAGTTTGGACACTAACTCCCAAAGTTAGAGTAGTCTTTACAGGTTAAGGGCTCCATTCCACAGGACTGCCCCACTTCAGATGCCAACCCCACGTCACTCACACTTCTGCCCACCTGACTACAAATTCAGAGGTTCCCACAACCCCCCTCTTCAGGTGCTGTACTTACATTTACTGGTTTATTATAAAGGATATAACTCTGGAACTGCCAGATGGACCCATAAGGGATGGTATTGGAGTTGGGGAGCGATCGTGGCCCAGAGCTTTTGTGCTTTCTCTGAGGATGCTACCCTCCCAGTATATCAGAGTGTTTGTCAACCCAGAAGCTCTCCAAATCTTGTTGTTCACGAGGTTTTTTTGAAAATTGAACTCAATTTCCCAAAGGAGTGGGGTAAAAATTTCAACCCTCATGTGTTTGGTCTTTCTGATAACCATTGTCCATCCTGAAGCTATCTAGGGGCCTCTACATGAGTCACCTCATTATGCCATAGGCTCTGCTGTGGTAGAAAGGGGCTTGTTATAAATAACAAAAGACACACCACACCTTTCTTCCAGGAGATTTGCAAGGGTTTTAGGAGCTCTGTGCCAGGACAGACCTGGGACAAGGACCAAGTATATTTTTATTATATCACACTTTCATACTGTTAAAAACATTAACATAAGCAAAACTGCCCATTCCCCATTTCTACCAAAGACTTTTTGAAAAAACATTCACCTTATTAGATTGTCTCATTGTTTTTTGTGAAATCAGATCTAGCCTTTATGTATTGTATTTATCAGTTCTCAGCAAACTTAAATGTGTTCACAATGGGGATTGTCTAGTGGCATAGGGTCTAGAAATCCTATTATGTGTTAGGAATATAACTATATATGAATAAAAACAGACTGTAGCTTACTTATAAGAGGATTGTTTATTGGTAATTTTGGAAAGAGGAATCAATTATTTATCAAGTATTTGACTACATGGTCACTAAATTCATTTCACACTCTTAAGATTCAAAGATTTTATAGACAGATAAGCATTAAAAAATATGCATGGACCAGTGCATGAGCAAAACATAGCTAAACCTCTAAATTAGACTTACAAACATACATTTGGTCGCTTATTTTCAAGCGTTATTATGTTGCCCAGTGTACTTGAGAACCTGATAATGTAAGTCTAAATGCTACTCATTGCTACACTTCAACCGTCATAAAATAGTTATGCAGATCCTCTGATGTCGGCAAGCCATCTCAAAACACTGCATGTTGTAATAAGTTGCCTCACAGCCTACTCTTGTAACACAACTTATTTGTGTCAGATATAAAAAGAAAAATATGCGTTTCACCACAGATTTTGATTTTATTATAGATTATATTTAATAGAAACTGGGTTCATTGGTTATTCATATGGAGAAACTATATGCAAACGATAACTTTTTCATATATTGTGCTTGGTGTGTGCCATACACATATTTCCTATATGTCAAAAGGATTGGAAAGTACTGTGTTAAGAGGCCAGGTAGGATTATATTTATATGGTTATTTTAACAAACTAAGTTAGATAGGCTGGGATACTTGGACGAGTGATTGTTACTGTTTATAAAAGGTTGAGAGAGCAAAGGAATTAGAATGTAATATATGTGATTCAGATATGCTTTATACTATAAATTTGGTTTGTTTTTTTTTTCTCTTCACTGCTATATTTCTTTTTAAAGGTTTACTCTGTGATTTGCTATGGTCTGACCCAGATAAGGATGTGCAAGGATGGGGAGAAAATGATCGTGGGGTTTCCTTCACTTTTGGAGCTGATGTAGTCAGTAAATTTCTGAATCGTCATGATTTAGACTTGATTTGTCGAGCTCATCAGGTATGAAACAAAGACTCTTGGATATTTTAATATTTATTAGTGTCACATAAGTCCTCTCATTTTGTTTTTGAGAAAACCAAGATCCAAGAAAGCTAAATGACTTGTACAAGGAAAGCAGTAGGAGAGGCAAAGCCAGTGTCTGGATCTCACAATTAATAATCTGTAACCTTTTCTCACCCTCTAAGAGGAAAAATGTTTCAAAAGAATATATTTTGTAGTACACTGCAATCCTAACAGAATTTTCAGTAGTTTTCTGAAGCTTTCTAGACACGGTCTAGAGTTTTATATATCATTTATATATTACGGATAACAATCAAATGAATTATATGGATATTGTTTGGATTTTGATAAGAACAAACCACACTGTAAAGACATTTTTGAGACAATTGAAGAATTTGATTATAAACTGGGTAATAGATACCAGAGTGTCATTGTTAATTATTTTAGGTGTGTTAAAATCATTATTGCTACATAAGAAAAATGCCCATGTTTTTTCAGAAATTCATACTCAAGTATGTAGAGGTAAAATGAGATGCCTGGGATTGGCTGTAAAATATGTCAGCAGAAAAAAAGGGGGAGATAAGTAGAAATAAATGTAGCAACCTCCTGATAATTACTGAATCAGGATGATGAGTAAATTGGAGTTTATTGAACTCCTCTTTAACTACTTTTGTGTATATTTGAAATTTTTCATTATAAAACTATTTATACAGTTTAGGGTTTTGGTTGTTTTATGTCCTCTTTTACCAACTAGATTGAACATGCTCTAAGGGAGGAGCTTGTAACTTATTTATTTTTGAATCTCTATTGCTTTGTACAGTTGCTGACATATTGTTGCATATTATAGCATGTACTTGGTGTTTGTTGAATAAATGAATTAATGAACAAAAGTATATTTTAACAATATATCAAATGCTCATGTTCTCTAAAACATAACTGGTATAAAATACACTGTGAAAGGTATTTTTAAAAGTTTTTTAGTTATTTTTTGAGGTTCCTGAAAGTATTCAGAATTAAGTATATACTGTTCCATAACACTTACCTTTTTTCTGGAGCTTTCCTCCCCAGGACACTTGACTACTCTTGACTACTTCTGCTTCTTTGTGTGATCCTAAGTGATAAACAGAAATGACTAGCTTTTCATCTTCTGCATGTTATACCTATCACATGCCTCTTTTTTAGCAGTATTTTCTAGTCATTCATTTGAAGTCATGTTCCCAAATCCTTTGCTTTTGACACAGTTGTTTTTTAATCAGTAAACATTGTGTTTATGACTTTGATAATTTTAAGCCTTCTGTTAGATAACAGGGCAGAATTGCTAAGTTGGTAACTAAAATACCGACTGATTTCCATTCACTGGTCTTTTTAAAAAAAATAGATAATGATTTTAAAAAATCAGGTTACTGAACTCATTTAGTTTACATGGTCTTGTCTTTTCCAGAAACCTCCAAAATCCTATTATGCTTATTTTCAAATATGTTCTCTAAAATTAAGAGATTTACAATAGGAAACAATACAAACTACAAATATTCCATTAAAAGAAATATTAGAAAGAATGAACAAACAAGAAACTAAGAAATATATATACTGAATGCCAGGCATTGTGCCGAGCTAGGGATAAAGTAGCCACAGTCTTAACAGAAAAGGTTAATATCTAAATTGTAACATGAGGTAATTTCAACAGAAGTATGTTCTAGTACAGTAGTAGTTATTTTAACAAGTAAATGATTTTGGAGGAGTTTGAGGTTGCTGTGAACTAGGCTGATGCCACGGCACTCACTCTAGCCTGAACAACAAAGTGAGACTGTCTCAAAAAAAAAAAAAAAAAATTTTTTTTTTTTTTTTAATTAAAAAAGTACTTGGTTTTCAGCTCCCAGTCATTGCTATACTTATTAGCATATTTTGGTTTTGTCTCATGGGGAGCCTTGGAAATGATACCATCTTTAAGCTTTTTAGTAAAATGAATTCATTATTTCATTAAATAAATCCCTGCCATTATAGAAAAGGCACACCAATTTTAATGTTCTAATAAGCAAAGTTTAAGATAAAATCATAACTTCCAAAACAAAACAGTTTTTTTAGGTCTTTGCCACATTGATATTATTTAGTACAGATGGTTAAGAATTACCTACTAGGGCAGGCACAGTGGCTCACGCCTGTAATCCTAGCACTCTGGGAGGCTGAGGTGGGCGGATTGCTCAAGGTCAGGAGTTTGAAACCAGCCTGAGCAAGAGCAAGACCCAGTCTCTACTATATATAGAAAGAAATTAATTGGCCAACTAACATATATATAGAAAAAATTAGCCGGGCATGGTGGCACATGCCTGTAGTCCCAGCTACTCGAGAAGCTGAGGCAGAAGGATTGGTTGAGCCCAGGAGTTTGAGGTTGCTGTGAGCTAGGCTGACGCCATGGCACTCACTCTAGCCTGGGCAACAAAGCGAGACTCTGTCTCAAAAAAAAGGAATTACCTACTAATGGTTTTTTTCTTTTGACATTTCCTTTGACAGGTGGTGGAAGATGGATATGAATTTTTTGCTAAACGACAATTGGTAACCCTATTTTCAGCCCCAAATTACTGTGGCGAGTTTGATAATGCTGGTGGAATGATGAGTGTGGATGAAACTTTGATGTGTTCATTTCAGGTATGATATAAATATAAATTTATAAGAACTAGAAATCTAATTAAAACTATCGTCAGAAGAAGCTTTCTTGTAGTTTTGTGATCTTTCCTTGAGCAAGTATTGAAAATCATTTTAATTCTGAAGTAATTTGCCACTCAGACTCATTAGAGATTTCTATTTTTAGTCACAAATTTTCTAGCATTTTTGGTATATATCAGATATAATGGTTTTAGGGAACCTAAGCTATGTCACTCATTCTTGATTTAGATGTTTAAATTGTTCAATTCTCCTATGGCCTATGGGATAGTTGCTTGCTTCCTAAAAGAATGTGAACTCAATGAATAAGAGTTCTGTTTTCTTTTGCAAGGTGAATAGGTGGAGCAGACATTGGTGAGAGAGAGAATTATAAACATAGATGAACATAAAGTAGAATACCTAAGAAACAAACTTTCAAAATAATAGATTTACATTTTTTGAAGAGGCCAGCTGTAGCTTTAGTGTGTTACTTACAAATCATTCTTGTTCACTGAGTAAAACAGCTTTGATACTTTGTTTTTGCAAAGGTTATTCTTTATCCTTGATGTGCACACACTACATTTCTCTTTTTAAATGTAGTGGGGCTTTCCTATCCCTCTTTGCCTTGTTGTATTACACCATTTCCATCAACTAGTACAATTAAATGATAAATGTGATTTTTCATTTATAATTTAAAGAAAGTAATTTTAAATTTAAAAAGTACTTGGTTTTTTAATTAATTTAAACTAATTTCTTTTTTTTTTTTTTTATTTTAAAATTTCAACACCTTCTCAGATGAGCATTTTTAAACTAATTTCTTTAAATTGTAAATGAAAAATCACATTTATCATTTAATTGTACTAGTTGATGGAACAACAGGCTGTTTCCTTCAACAGTTGTTATGGTGGACTTGGATTAATTTTTCTTTTCACTGAGGCATTATGATGCTCTGAATAGTTTTAAGAAATACTTCTTAAATCTTTTTACACATTTTTCTTGTAAAATCATGACATTTTCTGTCTTATCGTGTAGGTTAAAACTCTGCTTACACTCACCAGAGTGAGTATAATAAAAAGACAGTAACAAGTGTTGGCTAGGATATGGAGAAATTAGAATCTTCATGCATTAATGGTGGAAATATAAAATGGTGCAGCCACTTTGGAATATAGTTAGGCAGTTCATCAGAAATTTCTTTTTTTGTTTTTTGTTTGTTTCATTGTTGTTTTTTTGTAGGGGGGGGGTGAGCCTTGCTCTGTTGCCTGGGCTAGAGTGCCATGGCATAGAAATTTAAACAGAGTTCTCATATGATGCAGCAGTTGCACTTTTATACCCAAGAGAAGTGAAAACATTTGTCTACACAAAACTTATACATCAATGTTCATAGCAACATGATTCATAATAGCCAAAAAGTGTACACAATTCAAATGTCCAGCTGATCAGTGGATAGACAAAATGTTCATCCACATAATGGAATATGATTTAGCAATAAATAGAAACAAAGTACTGTAATCCTAACACTCTGAGGCAGGCGGATTGCTCAAGGTCAGGAGTTTGAAACTAGCCTGAGCAAGAGCAAGATCCGTCTCTACTATAAATAGAAAGAAATTAATTGGCCAACTAATACATATATAAAAAAATTAGCCGGGCATGGTGGTGCATGCCTGTAGTCCCAGCTACTCGGGAGGCTGAGACAGTAGGATTGCTTGAGCCCAGGAGTTTGAGGTTGCTGTGAGCTAGGCTGACACCACAGCACTCACACACAGCCTGGGCAACAAAGCAAGACTCTATCTCAAAAAAAAAAGAAAAAAGAAACAAAGTACTGATACAAGCTACAGCCTGGGGGAGCTTTGAAAACATAAGTGGAAGAAGCCAATCACAAAAGGCCACATATTCCATGATATCAATTATACGAGATGTCTAGAATAGGCAAATCGATGGAGACAAAGTAGATTAGTGGTTGCTTAGTCTTCTAGGGGTTGTGGGGAGGTAGAGGGTGGGAATGGAGAGTGACTGCTAATGGGAACAAGATTTTTTTAGGGGTTGACAAAAATGTTGTAAAATTAGATTGTGGTACTGGTTTAACTGTAAATATGCTAAAAACTGTCAACTTGTATACTTTAAACAGGTGATATATCAATATTTTATATAAAGTTTTTTTTTTTTTGAGACAGCATCTCGCTTTGTTGCCCAGGCTAGAGTGAGTGCCGTGGCATCACCTAGCTCACAACAACCTCAACTCCTGGGCTCAAGCAATCCTCCTGCCTCAGCCTCCCGAGTAGCTGGGACTACAGGCATGCGCCACCATGCCCGGCTTATTTTTTCTATATATATTAGTTGGCCAATTAATTTCTTTGTATTTATAGTAGAGACGGGGTCTTGCTCAGGCTGGTTTTGAACTCCTGACCTTGAACAATCCGCCCACCTCGGCCTCCCAGAGTGCTAGGATTACAGGTGTGAGCCACCGCACCCGGCCTTATATAAAGTTTTTTAATAAAAAGATCTATTTATACATAAAAAATAAGGTTTGAAGAGTTTGTGATTTGGAGAAGATTAATTACCCTGCTGAATTAACATGTCAGAACTATGATGAGAACCTAGATCTTTTGACTCTTAAACCAGTGTTCTTTTCCTCACCACAGAGATATACTAATTTGAAAAATTTTATTCTTAAATCTAAGGATTGAGTAGTTGATAGGGTAGGTGTACTCAGCCTATTGTTACTACAATATGAATGGAATGACAAATAGCAGTTCAGACATTTGCACACTTTAAATCTAAGGAATGTTATGGAACTCTGCTGTTTTCTATATTTTATGCCATTTATTGAAAAAGATCAACCATTGGAACAGTTTTCTTAAACCTTATTGCACTTGAAAGAATAACATTGTTTGTTAATAAATTATTTCTTTTAAGATACTGAAACCATCTGAAAAGAAAGCTAAGTATCAGTATGGTGGACTGAATTCTGGACGTCCTGTCACTCCACCTCGAACAGCTAATCCACCGAAGAAAAGGTGAAGAAAGGAATTCTGTAAAGAAACCATCAGATTTGTTAAGGACATACTTCATAATATATAAGTGTGCACTGTAAAACCATCCAGCCATTTGACACCCTTTATGATGTCACACCTTTAACTTAAGGAGACGGGTAAAGGATCTTAAATTTTTTTCTAATAGAAAGATGTGCTACACTGTATTGTAATAAGTATACTCTGTTATAATATTCAACAAAGTTAAATCCAAATTCAGAATTATCCATTAAAAGTTACATCTTCACGTATCACAATTTTTAAAGTTGAAAAGCATCCCAGTTAAACTAGATGTGATAGTTAAACCAGATGAAAGCATGACGATCCATCTGTGTAATGTGGTTTTAGTGTTGCTTGGTCGTTTAATTATTTTGGGCTTGTTTTGTTTTGTTTTTTGTTTTTGCTCTAATGGAATTTTTTTTTTCCCTAAACATTTTTAAAAGTGAAATATGGGAAGAGCTTTAAAGACATTCACCAACTATTATTTTCCCTTGCTGATCTACTTATGTACCTGTTTGATCTTACTAAGAAAACTTATGCCTCATTTCATTACAGTAAAAAGGAATTTTAGAGGTTGATCGTTTTTTAAATAGGCAAACTGTCCAATGATTTTAATCAGTTTGACTGGGCAAACTTTACAGCTGATAGTGAATATTTTGCTTTATACAGAAATTGCCACTGATTTGGATTTGTGCACTCTAATTTTTAACTTATTGATGCTCTATTGTGCAGTAGCATTTCATTTAACTTTAAGATAAGGCTCATATAGTATTTACCCAACTAGTTGGTAATGTGATTATGTGGTACCTTGGCTTTAGGTTTTAATTAGCACGAAACACCTTTGGCATGCTTAACTTTCTGGTAACACCCTCACCTACATTGGTTTTGTTTTTTGGGGTTTTTGTTGTTGTTTTTGTTTGTTTGTTTTGTTTGTTTTTAGATCCACATACATGAAAATCCTTTTTTGACAAGCCTTGGAAAGTTGACATACTATCTCTTTTTTTCTTCCTTGTATACAAAGGATGTATTTAAATGAATGCCGGTCAGTGGGACATTTTGTCAACTATGGGTATTGGGTGCTTAACTGTTTAATATTGCCATGTGAATGTTGTATACGATTGTAAGGCTTATGTCACTAAAGATTTTTATTCTGATTTTTCATAATCAAAGGTCATAATGATATTGTATAGACATGCTTTGTAGTGAACTATAGTAGCAATAATTTCTGTACATGATCAAGAGTTTATTGCAGCATTTCTTTTCCTGTTCTCTTTTTTTTAAGGGTTAGTATTAACAAATGGCAAGTAATAGAAAAGTCAACAAAAAGATTTTAGAAGGAGAACTTACAGGACACAGATTTGTGATTCTTTGGATGTGACACTATTGGATGTGATTCTAAAAGCTTTTATTGAACATTGTCAAATTTGTGAGCTTAATAGGGATGGACATCATATTTATAATGCCCTTCTATATGTGCTACCATAGATGTGAAATTCTTGACCTTAATATTGTCTTTGAAAATGTTAAATTGAGAATTCTGTTAACATTTTATGAATTGGCGCATTGTATTACCGCAAGAGATATTTGATTTTCAGCACAGTGCAAAAGTTCTTTAAAATGCATATATGTCTTTTTTTCTAATTCCATTTTGTTTTAAAGCACATTTTAAATGTAGTTTTCTCATTTAGTAAAAGTTGTCTAATTGATATGAAGCCTGACTGATTTTCTTTTTTTCTGTACAATGAGACATTTAAACATACATTTTATTCAAATAGGTATGTCCTTGACATATATTGAATTGATTCTTTTCTGAAAATATTCATGGCCTGCATATTATAGGTTAGGTCACACAAGCTTTTATCTGATGTGATTTAAATAACTTCCTGATTGGAGTGTAAGTTGAGGAATTACTAAATAAAATTTTACATTTATTCGTTTAGTAGTCATATTGAAGGAGGTCTAGAAAATAATCCTTTGGCAGGGAAAGGGGGACAGTCCTTATTTAGCTCAGTATTAAACCACATTAATCTGGATCCTACTGACTGGTTTTTGTAAAAATTCATCAAGGTCAACGCTAAAATATGAAAAATAAGGATGAAAATTTATCATCTTTAAAAATTATTCAAGCAGGCCGGGCACGGCGGCTCACGCCTGTAATCCTAGCTCTCTGGGAGGCCGAAGCTGGCGGATTGCTCAAGGTCAGGAGTTCGAAACCATCCTGAGCAAGACCCCATCTCTACTATAAAAAGAAAGAAATTAATTGGCCAGCTAATATATAAATAGAAAAAATTAGCCGGGCATGGTAGCGCATGCCTGTAGTCCCAGCTATTCAGGAGGCTGAGGCAGGAGGATTGCTTGAGCCCAGGAGTTTGAGGTTGTTGTGAGCTAGGTTGACGCCACGGCACTCACTCTAGCCTGGGCAACAAAGCGAGACTCTGTCTCAAAAAAAAAAATTATTCAAGCACTCTTAAAACCATTTAACAGCTTCTATATTCATATACAAATAATGTATTCTTTACAAATAGTATTTACTTGGCAACATTGCTACTTGAAATAAAACTTTCTTAGGAGAAAATTATCCTGTCACTAATTTATATCATTCTCTCTGATTTTTTTCAGGTTAGTGATTTTTTTTCATACAATTTAATCCAAATATTTTGACATTTAAAAATCATTAAACATAATAGATATCTGTTAATAGTATGTGATAGATCACATGGATTGTAAAGCAAGGTTATTATGGTCAACTTCTCTTAGTTCTTGAATGGAAATGATCAACTACAGTGGATCTCTTGCATTTGAAGCTTTTAACATTCATTGGTTTAATTTTGCTCAGGGACAAATTTTAATCATTAGCAAGACTAGTTTGTGCGGAGTGTTTATTCATCAGGTACTTAGAGCCTAGCCAACAGCCTGGTGTCCACCCTGCCATATTCCTTTATTGCAAAACAGTATACCTAAACATTCCTGAAGTTATTTTTTTTTAATTGAAAAATGCTAGCAGGAAGAATTTTAAAGCTTAAAATATAGGTGGTTAATTTGAAGTATGAGTGTGTTCTGAGGAAGCATTTACTTTAAAAAAATTTTTTTGCCTAAAGCAAAGAACATTTTAAGATGTGTCTCTTAAGAATATAAAAATATTATATTGAACCAAGGGACTGAAATCCGTCTGTTTGTAAGTTCAGGTATATTCCTTTGTATCCATGGCTAAGAAATTTTTTTTTTTTTTTTTTTTGAGACAGAGTCTCGCTTTGTTGTCCAGGCTAGAGTGAGTGCCGTGGCGTCAACCTAGCTCACAGCAACCTCAAACTCCTGGGCTCGAGCGATCCTTCTGCCTCAGCCTCCCGAGTAGCTGGGACTACAGGCATGCGCCACCATGCCCGGCTAATTTTATATATATATCAGTTGGCCAATTAATTTCTTTCTATTTATAGTAGAGACAGGGTCTTGCTCTTGCTCAGGCTGGTTTTGAACTCCTGACCTTGAGCAATCCACCCGCCTCGGCCTCCCAAGAGCTGGGATTACAGGCGTGAGCCACCGCGCCCGGCCCAAAAGAAATTTTTTTTACAACATCTTTATGCTAAAAATGTGTTTAGAGAAGGAAGATGGTCAGGCTGAATTTGCTGTTGATGTCCAGTCTAATTCATCACCTCTTTTCCTTGTGAATCCATGCCTGAATCAAAGCTGCACCTGAGAAGACACTTAATATAAGCATCCACTTAGAAATACATTGTCCCTTTTGCTAATCTCAATGTTTTATGATTTCCCCCAACAGCTAACAGGTGGTTAGAAGAATTTTAAAGGGACAGCATACCTGGCAAAATGAACAATACTTAAATATGAAACAAACTGTTTCCATATAAGTATACATCGGGAGTTTCGTTGTCTTTATTCTTTTTGTAATGTTTCAACGAAAGTGAAATTTAGATACAGTGAAACAACTTTCATCTGTTAAAAGTGGATTTTACCTATACATTTGAATGCCAGAATTTCTAAAGAAATCCCCAGTCCGGGCGTGGTGGCTCATGCCTATAATCCTAGCACTCTGGGAGGCCAAGGCAGGCGGATTGCTCGAGGTCAGGAGTTCAAAACCAGCCTGAGCAAGAGCGAGACCCCGTCTCTACTATAAATAGAAAGAAATTAATTGGCCAACTAATATATATATAGAAAAAATGAGCCAGGCATGGTGGCGCATGCCTATAGTCCCAGCTACTCTGGAGGCTGAGGCAGCAGGATTGCTTGAGCCCAGGAGTTTGAGGTTGCTGTGAGCTAGGCTGACGCCATGGCACTCACTCTAGCCTGAGCAACAAAGCAAGACTCTGTCTCAAAAAAAAAAAAAAGAAATCCTCAGATTAGGAAATTTTAAAAATCAAAGCTCATTTCCTTTAACCACAACTTAATACAGTGATTGACATAGACCATCAGCTTTTGAAATTTCTCATTGTAATTTACTTTCCCATTCATGTTGTCAGTGTTTTATTAAATCTTAGTTTTACAAAAATGACTATAAATCTTTGCTTCTTTTCTCATAGGGATCTTTGCCACATTGTTTGGGGTACCTGTAGGGTGGAAGATTGCAAGTGAACTGGTGTGTGGTGTCGAGGTGGGAGTGAGGAGGCTCTGTGTGTGTGAGAGGGAGAGTTAGAGAACATAGGCTGTCTGAGGCTCATAGGTTCAACATTCCTTTTAAAAAGGTAGGAACTTAAGGTCTCTTCCTGAGTCTTGCAATCAAGCCTGCCCTGTAATCACCAAGTAAGAGATGTGTATTAATTTTTACAGCTGCCTCATCTGAGTAATTCAATAGATTTACTGGCTGAAATTCTTCCCCCAAAAGCAGTGACTTCACAGCTTAACATCTGGAACATTCACAGATTATTGTACAAATTTATTAAAAGACATACTAATTTATGGGCTGTCATATATAAACACTGATTATTGACAAAGTCACAAAGACAAAAAATATAACAGGAAAAAAGTCGTCTAGAGGAGTCTCTTATGTAACAAGTTTACTTTGAAGTAAGTCTTAAACCTCCCAGTACATTGTTTGAAAAAGAGCTGAGGAAACAAAACTGGGTTATTGAAACTTTTTATGTTAGGCAGTCTCCAACATATAGCTCTCAAACTGGCAATTGGCACAGCATCTGACAGTGCTGCCACTTACCACCAGGTATTGACAGACTGATCTATTCTGTCTACTATTCTTACTTAAACATGAACTTTGTCTAACTCTTAATTCACCTGAGAAGGTGAATGTGAAGGGTCAGGTCATTTGAGAAAGCTCATGTCTTGCAGAACTCATGAAACGACTCAATTTACCAAATTAAAAATTAATAAGCTTACTTTAGAAAATCTTGTGTGAGGCCAAGGGTCCAAGTCTCAGCACAGGTAACTATTACATAGTATATGACCTCAGTAAGAAGTTTTAGAAACACAAATCTGTCTCCCAGGATAATTGCCCCAGGTTTTGTAGCCCATCTCTAACTAGAGCCTGGTAACTCCACTGAAATTAATTCAATTAATTAATCATACCAAAGATGTGGTTAAAATCTGTTACTGGCCAGGCACAGTGGCTTGTGCCTATAATCCTAGCACTTGGAGGCGGAAAAGGCGGAAGATAGATTGAGGTCAGGAATTCGAGACCAGCCTTAGCAACAGCAAGACCCTGTCTCTACAAAAAACAGAAAATGAGCCGGGCAAGGTGATGAACGCCTATGGTCCCAGCTACTTGGGAGGCTGACGCAGAAGGACCACTTGAACGCAGGAGTTTGAGGTTGCAGTGAGGTATGATGAGAACACTACACCATAGCCTTGGCAGCAGAGCAAGATTCTGCCTCAAAAAAAAAAAAAAAAAATCTGTTACTGTACTGTAAAACTTGTTTTGAGTGGGAGACCCTAATCTTCAAACAAGGAAGTTCCCTAAACTATGGATATGCTCACTGACAGATTAACACAAATTGTAATCCATTCCATCTTTAATAGAGCATCAGTTATTCCCTAGATCCAGTAGGATATTGGATCCAGTTGGATATTGTTTCAAAACTTTGTTATATTTGGCCCTAACAGTCTTTAAGTCTAGATCAGTCTCATGTCACTAGAATGTAAACTCTTATGGGCAGGGATTTTTTTCTCTTTTGTTCACTGATATTGTAATATTTCCTCATCCTAGAGTGGTGCCTGACACATAGTAGGCATGCCAATAATTGTTTAATGAATGGCAAGCCAGTTTCAAAAATGACTAGTATTAGTATTTTGACACCTTGATGTTTTAAAGAAATTTGCCACAAAAAAAATACAGTTCCAGTTATTTATACTCATGTAACTGCTTTTGTTTCTTACGGCAAGAATGCTGGAGTAGTCTCAGGGGAAATATACTGCCAAAATAAATGGTTCATTGCCAAAACTCTGGTCCTTATTTTGTAAAATGTTGATAAGTATAAGAAGTCAAAGTGTTCAGTTCCTTGAAAGAACGTTTTGCAGCTAGCACCCCACAGGCCCATTTGACCGCATTCATACAGCTAATAAAATGGTAGTGCCTGAATGCAAACAGGTCTGTGATTCTAAAGTACATTCACCTTGCTCTACACACCAACATAGTAATGTTAACTGAAGAAAATTACAAGATTCAGAAATTTGAAAAGGAGAGCTTTATTTCTCATAAAGCCAGCCTGTGGGTGGCCATGAGGCAAGGACAATGGAAATGGAAATTTATGAGAAACACAGGCATGCACAGTCAAGTTTTAGGCCTCTTTATGGGGTCCATATTCAGAAAGTAGTGGCCCTCTGGTGTCAGCAGATAAAACAGAGGACAAGAAAGAAAATCCTCTCGATATTCTCTATAGAGTGGTTAAAACCTACTCCATGGTTGGTGGTCTCTTAGAAAAATAAGGAGAGGTAGATCAGATTAAGAGATTGGTTTTGGGTTTAGTCCTTAAAAAAAGCCATTATGGCTGTGAACTCAGCTTTAAGGTTTCTTTGGGGTCCCCTTGACCAAGAAAGTGTCCAGTCAAGTGGGGGCTTAGGATTTTATTTTAGTTCTCAGTACAAAGACTCAGGAATGAGAACGCTCACGAAGGCCTCACTGGTAGTAACTACTTTCCGCCACTACCTTGCTGTGTGGGAGTCAGAAACAAGGAAACCCAACAAACTCGTTCTTCAGAGTTGCTGATTGAGGAACTGATTGCTGGGAAGTACCACAAATAGGCAAGGCCAAATTGCTTTTCAAGTGTTATGATAGTAGCCAAAAAATCTGAAAGCAGTCCAAATATAAAAATGATTTAAATATGGTCCATCCACTCTGGAATATTATGTAGTCATCAAAAATGTTTAGAAAGGCTGTAACAACATGAAAAAAAGGTCAGGGTATGTTAATAGAAAAAAACAGCTTATAAATTAGAGTAGGTGAATAGGAAAGGATGTCAGGGAGAAAAAATAAAAAGCTTTGAAGAATCCTTTTTATTTATTCAGCAAGCATTTGTTAAGCACCTTCTATAATACATCCCAGGCACTTGGCCAAGTGTTAAGATGAAGCCAAAAAGAAAAGATTCCCAGCTGAGCGTGGTGACTCACGCCTATAATCCTATCACTTTCGGAAGCTGAGGCGGGAGGATCACTTGAGGCCAGGAGTTCAAGACCAGCCTGAGCGACGTAAGTGAGACACACACCTCCAAACCCCATCTCTACAAAAAAGAGAAAAATTGGTGGGCATTTTTAGCTCCTGTAGTCCCAGCTACTCCGGAGGCTGCGATGTGAGGATCGCTTGAGCCTAGGGAGTTCAAGGCTGCAGTGAGCTATGATGACGCCACTTCTGTACTCCAGCTTGGGCGACTTTGCGAGACCCTCAAAAAAAAAAAAAAAAAAATGCTGTGGATGTAACCGTTAAAACAGAATAATATTACTCCCGCTCCTCACAAAAAGCTACGGTAGTCACGTTTTCTGTTTGTCTAAGCGAGCTCGTCTTTCTATACAATGATTTCAACATCGCTGTAACTATATGTACATCAGCCCCGAGGTCTGCGCTGCCCGCCTCGGTGCCGCCGGGAGCCGAAGCCTCAGCCCTGCAGGGCCGCACCAGAGTCTAGTTGGAGGGACTATAAACGGACTTTGAGAAGTGTCCAAGGGAAAGAGGTCAGATCCGGAGGGTGTGTGAGCTTCGCCAGGGCGGTGGGCCAGAGGGCGGGCACGGAGGAATAACCGCAGAAGGCGGCTCCCGCACAGGGCTCGGGCGGGGAGCGAGCGGGGTGGGGGTGGGGCGGGTGGGGCGCGGGCGCGTGCCTCCCGGCCAGCCCCGCCCCAGAGGCCGGCTCTGCGCACTGATTGGCCCCCGCCGGCCGCGCGCTCGGGGCTCGGGGTTGGCGGGAGGTGTGCGAGCGGCGGCGAGCAACCGTCTGAGGCCCGAGAGCTGTGGGTGAGGCTGACTGCCGCCGGCCCGGCCCCCTCGCACCCAGCCCGGGTTTCGCAGGTACCTTTGCTCGCACCCGGGGGCGGGCCTCGCAGGCGAACCTCCACTTTCCCTTGTGACTGTTCCAGGTTCCCTGTCGCTGCCAGCCCCGCCGTCCGTCTTGTGTGAGAAGGTGGCGGCGTCTCCGCCCCCTCGCGGGCGCCGCGACCTCGCCCCACGCACTTCCACCCGTGAATGCCCTCAGGGGCCTTGGCGGCGACGAGCACACGCCCTCCAGCTCCTTCGCCCCGGGCTCCGGGCTGGAGGGCCCTGCGGCAGGACTGCGGGGGCCGGGGGCCGCGGCGCAGCGGGAGGCTGGCCGTGCTGGTGGGAGGGGAGGGGAGGGGAGGGGAGACTGGTCCCCTCAGGTGGCCCCAGAGGAGCCCGGTGGTGCGGGCCCTTCCTGCCCGCCTGCCTGGAGGAGAGGCCCCTGGGGAAGAGCTCCTGCCTCCCGGCCTGCCGCCTGCTCTTATTTGGCGGGGATGAGGGGGTGGCCTTTTGTCTAAGTCCTACCCCTTTTCCCAAGAGCATCTGCAGCGGCAGCTTGCTGTCGGAGCTGCTGTGTCTCAGTGCTGTGGCCTCAGCCCAGGTCTCAGAATTCACGAATGCTCTCTTCTTATGTGACATCCAGGACGACTGGAGGCCAACTAGCCTCAACTCTTTAAAAGTAGAGTAATTGAACGTTTAAAGACTGATAAGGCCTTGCTATGCTAAAATCGACATCTTGTCTGTTTACAAATTCTATTCTCTGACATAAGCATATGTTTTTAAATACCAACATCTCTGTTAGCAATTAAATTTTCTTAACATTTAAATTATATTTATTTAGTAGCTGCTGGGGAGGCTGAGGCAAGAGAATCTCTTGAGCCCAGAAGTTGGAGGCTGCAGTGAGCTATGATGACACCACTTGCACTCCAGCCTGGGTGATGGAGTGAGACCTTGTCTCCGGAAAAGAAAATTATATTTAGTAATTGAGGTGAAATTTGACTGCCTCTCATATTCGGACTCTTCTTTCCTTCAAAGACATTCTTCCCATTAAGGAGCTAATGATATGCTAATGATGCTTCTATATAGAGATTTTGCTAAGCATTCAGCACTGTGCTAGGTATTATCCATATAGTTCCTTTGTTCATTAATGCTACAAAATATGTATTATTAAAATGCCTAATAGGTAATTTTTATTGAGTACTTACTATGTGCCATATTCTAAATGAACATAAGTGATTTTATTTTCTCAATATCATAAGTGAAGAAACTAAGGCTTCAGAATTTAAATAGCCTAAAGGCACATAGCTAGTGAAACAGAATAAGGTTTTAAATTCAGGTCCATTCTCTAGTATTTTAACAGATACCCTCAACTGGTTCTCTTTTGTCTGTAGACAGGCTTAGTATGGAAACAACTTCATGTGATTGATGTCCCTTCTAGCTGCTATTCATTTTATTCCTTCTAATCATCACCATGTTAAAAGCGGGGTATATGTGTGTACATATGTACATAGTCACATCTGCCTCATTTTCTAGCACATCAGTCCTTTAATTCTATTCAATCTGGTTTGCATTTATTCCTACCACATTATAATTGTATGTAATGCTCCTTTATTCACTAATAGGTTAGATTTCTAACAGATTTGAACTTACTGAATCAGCCGTGTCAGGTAATTATTTTACAAACACCATAGCACAACCACTTGGCTGAGGTCAAAAGTGTTCTATAATCATTAGATGATTAATTAAATGAGAAAATATCTTACAACATCAAAATTGTGGAGATTTGATAATAGCCCCAGCACAGCTTCCAGAAATTTTGTCAGAATATTTTTCCTAAATTTGCTGTTATTATTTTTTAATACTTAGATCGTGTTGGTTGTTGTAGAAAAAAACCTGCTGTAATCATTTTAATAAGGGTTCTTTTTTTAAGAAGTTATTTTATTTTAGCAAAAAGGTGATAAGCCCGTCTTTCTTCCCCACAGTAGTGGTTTATTTAACCACTAAGTCACGTTTATTGTGTACACTTACACTACCAATGCTAGAATTAAATTCATATAAAGAGTAGCCAAGGCCAGGTGTGGTGGTTCACACCTGCAGTCCCAGCACTGCAGGAGACCAGGGCCAGAGGGTGGCTTGAGGCCATGAGTTCAAGACCAGCCTGGGCAACATAGGGAGACAAAAAATTCTCCAGGAATGATGGTGCACACCTGTATTCCCAGCTGCTCTAGAGTCTGAGGCAAGAGGATCACTTGAGCCCAGGAGTTAGAAGCTGAAATAAGCTATGATTGCACCACTGCACTCTAGCCCAGGCAACAGAATGACTCCCTGTCTCTAAAAATATATATAAAAATAAAAACTAATAATTTTATTAAAGAATTTTACCATATGAGCAGTTTCTCCTACTTCCCCATCTTTTCATGTTTTTCGCCCATCTTAAAATGGTCCATATTTTAATTTGCCTTTCATTCTTTTCTTTTTGCTTGCCATCAGAACTCTCATTCTCTTAGTATACTAAACAAAGAACAAAACTGAAAGCTACCTCAAGTTAGAATTTGACCAAGATTATAGCATTGGTAGCTTCTTTCCTTAAGTTCCTTCTCCACAACTTTCCTGCCAGTGTTTGATTATTAACTTCAATGAATCTCTACTTAGGGAATTTCAGACATTTTCTTGTTCAAATTTCTCAAACATGAAGTATCCCAACATGTACATTAGGGTTTAGTGGAGTAATGTAAAGAGACCTACTCTTAGCATGATGTTTTACCTTTTTTTTTTTTTTTTTGAGACAGAGTCTCACGTTGTTGCCCAGGCTAGAGTGAGTGCCGTGGCATCAGCCTAGCTCTCAGCAACCTCAAACTCCTGGGTTAAGCAATCCTTCTGCCCTCACCTCCCAAGTAGCTGGGACTACAGGCATGCGCCACCATGCCCAGCTAATTTTTTTTGTGTGTATATATATATATATATATACACACACATGTATATATATATATAGTAATATAATTTTTTAATTATACACATTAATACACATAATTTTTTTGTGTATATATATATATATATGGCCAATTAATTTCTTTCTATTGATAGTAGAGACGGGGTCCCACTCAGGCTGGTTTTGAACTCCTGACCTTGAGCAATCCGTCTGCCTTGGCCTCCCAGAGTGCTAGGATTACAGGCGTGAGACACCTCGCCCAGCCTGTTTTACCTTTTTGATTGAAAAAAAAAATTGCATCCTATTTTATGATATACCCATACTTTTAATATAAAAACACTATTTTAAGTGACTTACCATTGAATAAAACTTACCTCCTGGAAGATGTGCCACAGTTATTCCATATTCTGGTACATCTCAATTGAGTCTATCCCACATACCCCAATTTGAGAAGCCTGACTTCTATTTAGTTTTTTCCATCTAGATGTAAGGCTGCTTTTACTTCAAAAAAACCAAACCAAAACAAACAAACAAAAATAACAGATGCAGATGAGGCCTCCAACTGTCTCCCAGTTGAGGTGGTAAGAAAAAGCAGTAAATTATTATACAAGTCACCTATTCCTCTTTCAGTAGAGTCTGTAGTACCCCTACTCCCACTACATAATTAATTGCCTTCAATTTGGCTGGACCTTACTATCTAGGAAGAAAAAGTAGGGAGAGATGGGAAATTTTAGAATCAAGTAAGTATAATTTCCTCTACCTAGTTCTTCATAATCTAGCCTTATACTGTCTAATATGGTAGACACTAACCATTTGTGACTATTAAATACTGAAACTGAAGAATTTAATTTTAACTTTAAATCAAAAAACTGAAGGAATGTAAAGTATTTTTCTGTTGCACACTAATTCATTTTTTGATAGGACTACATTTCACTTTTATTATTGAAAAATTAGCATCAGAATTGAGATATGCTATAAATGGAAAATACACAGCAGATTTCAAAGACTTAGAATGTAAATATCTCATTAATTTTTATATTGATTACATGTGAAAGTGATATTTTGGATATATTGAGTTATAGAAACTATATTAAAATTTACCTTTTTAAAATGTGGCTCTAAAAATATAAAATTACATCTGTGGCTTGCATTATTTCTGACAGTGCTGCTCTAGCCTCACTATGTCCTATCTTATTTTCCATTCCTTCCTTCAGCAGGGAAGTTTCTGAGGGTCAGGAAGGAGAATCTGTACCTAACTCCTTGAACACCAAGGGAGGCATGGCTGCCTGGGTCACTGTGAGTTATGGATTCAGAGGTTCTCATTAGGGTCCTAGAATAGTTTCCTGCTTTGCCTATTCACACCTTTGTTTCCCATTACCCTAGAAATATTTGACCAGAAAATGCTAATTCTAGTAATTATGTGATCACCACCAAACAAGATGATTATGCATATTGTTAAATATTGGTGGATTAACTTTGTCTCAGATTTTGTTAGATTATAATGTTGTACATTCATATACACTTATAACCAGCCACTCAAATAGCATGGTCATATATACTCACAACTTTAAAAATTAGACCAATTTATGAAAATCCTTCAGAGTACTTATACATTTTTTGCTAGAATTGTTTTCACCTTTTCAATAAATGCTTATTGAATAAGTGAATTTTGTGACATATCAGGAATTTAGCAATAAGAATATATGTTTTTTTGGGAGGGGGTGATTTTTAATATACTTGATAATAAATAAGTTATAGAAATTTCCTTGTTTATAAAGAATTTGGGGTGGCATATAATAACCATATGATAAAATTATGTCAATTCAAGCAGAATTGACAAGAAAAAGAAAAAAGAACACTACAAATACCTTGTAAATTCAGCATAGTTTCTATAATTAACTTTCAGATTTGATTTTAAGTTCTGTAGCCAAAGCAAAATGGTATACAGTATCTTATTTGGGTAGAGAAAGTATAACAGTTACCCAAAGGAAGCATAGCTTTTCCTAACATGTAAGCAATTTTTAATATGAGTCACTGTCACAAATAACATTTTAATAGCAAGTTCAGTAACATTTCATATGACTGCATCTGGTAGTATTAATCCAGTTAGTTGTTTTACAGAGAAATGAATGAATATGATAAATAATTGTATGTTTTATTTTTACAGGAATCTTGGGAAACCAAAATGAGGCACAATCAGATGTGTTGTGAGACACCACCTACTGTCACTGTTCATGTAAAATCAGGGTCAAATAGATCATATCAGCCTAAAAAACCAATTAATCTGAAGCGTCCTCTTTTTAAAGATAGTTGGCAAGCATCTGAAAAAAATGCACATAATAACAACAAATCTAAACGCCCCAAAGGACCTTGTCTAGTAATACAGCGTCAAGAAATGACTGCTTTCTTTAAATTATTTGGTAAGTTTAAAATATTGTAATAGTGGTAATTATAAGGTACTCAAAAATTAGAATGTAAACACCTATTGTATTATTTTCATATTGATCATGATAGAATATAATGCTATTATTTTGTGTCAAATTTCCCATCTCTAACCAAATTTGTTTTTGTTTTAGTCTTTTTTTTAACGTTGGGTTTTTGTTTTGCTAGCTTATGGGTTGAAAATTCAGACTCATCTAGCTTCTTAGACTACTGAAATCCAAGTGTCAAATGTAAATTCTGGGCAATTCAGGTTCAGAGCATGAATTTTGTTTCACCTAAAGTAAAATACATAAAGACTCAGATGCTAGAACAAAAGGGAGGCCTTGGTTCAAAAAACAAACAAAAAAGACTTAGTTTAACTGACCCAGTTTAACTATACCTAAGGAATTTCCCAGGACTTTCATTTCTAAAACCAAGCAAAC